CAAACTATGTACTGTATTCATATCTCTTTCACTTAAGAGTATAGAAACTTGATCATCTTTTCAGATGAGCACATTCCGATGTAACTCGTTATTTTACCAGCTTCGTGGTATTCCACTGAATGGACAAACGATGGTTTATTTAGTCCTTTACTGATGGATATTTAGCTTGTTTCCAGTCTTTGCTATAACAAACAATGCAGCAATGATTATCTCTACATATACATAATATATAATCTGTGGGTATGTTTGTAAATAAATTCCTAGATATAAAATTGCCGAGTTACAGAGTATATGCACTTATAATTTGGATGAACATGGTCAAATTATCCTCTAATGGAGTTGTACCAACTTATACTCCTACTAGTACTGTGTGATGGTACCTGCCTCTCCATCGCCTTGGTAATACCATACATTAGCAACATTTTTTCGTCTTTGCCAATCTGTCAAGGGAATCTCACTGTCGCTTTCCCATTCTCCTAAGTGAAGTCTAGCATCTTTTCCATATTTATTTGCCATTTATTTATGTCTTTCTATAAACTGCTTATACATAATCATTACTCATTTATCTTTTGGGTTGTTAGTCATTTTCTTATTCATAAGATTGCTCATATATTAAGTAAAGATATCCTTGTTTGGTCAGGTGTATTGCAAATCTTTTTTCCAGTCTGTCATTTGCCTTTGATTCTGCATACAATATTTTGAGCTCTATAGAAATTTTCACTTTTTCTATCTAAAGGTAATGTATATCAATCTTTTCCTTTATGGTTTCAGGGTTTTGTATTTTATCTGGAAAAGACTTCACTCCAAAATACATTTTTTAATGCTCATTTTTTTTTTCAGATTTCTTTAGTTTTCTTTTTTTTTTTTTTTTTGCATTTAATCCATGTGTATTGTACAAGAAATGAAGACTCTAGCTTTTTCCCCCACAAATGGCTAGCTAGTTGTCCCAATTCTATTTATTGAATAGTTTAACTTTCTCTTACTGGGTTGAAATGCCATCCTAGTCATTTTGCGTTTGTTCTTGCGTTTTACAGATTGACATTTGGTTCTTAAATTCCAGTTTGTTTGGGGGTTTATTTCTGTATTCTGTTCTGTCCAATGCTCTGCCTTTTCCACATTGTTTTGATTTCTATATTTGTAATTCATTTTAATATCTAGTTCAGCGAATCTTCTCTTATTACCCTCCTTCTTTAAAATTTTCCTGACAATTCTCACATGGTTATTTTTCACTGGGAACTTAGAACAGCTAATCTAGTTCTCCTCCGACTCCCAGGAAATCCTATTGGGTTTTTATTGGGATCACATGAAGTTAAATAAAATTTATAGATTAGTTTAAGGAAAATTGCTATCTTGTAAGATAAGGCGTATCTTTCCATTTATTTGAGTGTTTTTTGAAGTCACTTAGAATAATCTTAAAGTTAAAAATAATAAGCCATGCATATTTTTTGTTAAATTTTATTCCTTCCTTCCATTTGTGGTTGTTGGTATTATAAATGGAATCTTTCCTTTTATTAAATTTTCTAATTGGTTATGGTTTGCTTATAGGAAAGTTGTTACTTTTTGTGTTAATTTTGAAAGCTGACTGCATTCTCTTATTATTTCTAATAATTTTTCAGCTGATTATCTTGGATCCACTTATTAGTTATTGACATCTTTTGGAGATGAACAGGTCAAGATATGCCTTTCTCCTTTTTTAATTCTCCTTTTACTATGCCTAACAGACTCTCCAGTTGTCTGTGGGAAAAAAGGAGCAAAGTGTGAAGCGTGTTTGTGTGAGAGGCCCAACCAAAGGAGAATTAAAACTGAATGTGGACTCTCGTTGTTGATATCACAATTATGAAAAGAAGTACTTGATCCAGTTTATGTGAGGAGTAGTCAATGCCAGGGATGTTATCACACTGCCATGAGATTAAACACAATTATCAAAAGAGGCTCCTTCCTTACTCTCCTATTTTAAAAGCAATCAATATACAGTCTTTTGGTGTAAACCATTTATAAGATAAATACTGAAAATGTTAAATAGTAAGTGTCCAATACTCTCACTGGAGAAACAAAATAATTCTTTTGGTATTTTGAGAGAGATAATAGTGACAAAGTTGAAACTGAGAAATTGATATTACCCCAGCATATATAGGCTATACACTAGTATAAACATGGTCCTTATTTGATACTGTACTCTCAGTAGCTTCTAAACCCTGGTCTTTAAAGTTTTGGTAGATGAGTTCTATGGTTGTGTCTGAGGGCCAGAGGATGGTTCCAGAACCTCAGCAAGTGGAGCCAAGCATGGAAAGGAGTCAAAGGCAAACCAAGCACTCAACTCTCAGAATGCTATTGGTAAACCAGAAGATTTCTATCCAAATCACAAACATAATTAAGAGGATAATGGATGGTTAATTATCGTCTGAGAGGAAATGAACACGTCAGACCACAGCCAAACCCTTTTTGATGGTGGTAGATTTATATGTTGCTGCCAAAAGCTTCTGCCTGAAGCCAGGAAACGTTAAGTTGCATTGACTGCTTGCTGTGTAAACTCTGATGTGACCTACTCACTGGGCAGAGAGTGAAGACCAACGTTGTGGTGCTCACAAAGAGAGAGGAGGAGTTTGTGTCCAGGTGTGGGGAAGACAGGAACATTCTAGAGACTGAGGCTGGGGATGTGAGTGTGGATGTGGTGACTATGTGACTAGGGGCTCCATAGACCCCAAGCCCCAGAGATTATCCCAATGTAGTCATGACTAGTATCATCCGATGGGCTCAGTCTTCTGGTTCTAACTCTCGTCTTACAGAGAGACAGCTGAGTCAGAGTTGAAAACCTTGCCACAGCAAAGAGACATATATGTCACCCTCATTGATATGCCCCCAAGGGGTTGAACGCAGACCAGTGGGTTGAATTTACATGGAGACAGTTAGTGCAGCTCAAGATAGCAAGACTCTTCTGCTCATGCTAGGAGGGAGAGAGCTCTCCATCACTAAAAGGAATCAGGCATACACTGGGGACCATTCTGGGGGGTGTTGTACATGACTCTCAATCATCAAAAGTGTGTCTGAACTTTCCAGCCTTTAAGAAATCTTTTAGCCCTGAAATTCTGAAATATATACCTATATGTATATATATATAATCTCAGTTGTGATTATCTTGCTTCTTATAATATCAACTACTATTAATGTTACTCTTATTATACTTATATTTTTTGAGTATTTATTATATACTAGGCACTGGGTTGAGCTCTTTACATGCACTATCTCTATGAGGTAGTTACTGTCACTTCTCATTTTATAGATAAGAAAACCGAGTCTAAGGAAGGTTAAGAACATCTCTAAAGTCGGTCACACAGATAGCAAGCAGCAGAGCTGGGATTCAAAACCTGTCCTTTTGGCTGTGGAGCTGCTGAGCTATTTTTAGATTCTGCATTAAAAAGAATATTACAAACTTATAAAGCTTATAGCTTTTTTCCAGTCTCAGAACATTGTCTACTTGTACAAAAAGGAAGGTTTTATCCTTTCCAATTTTTATTTCTTTGTTTGTTTACTTGCTCTAAAGAATACTGAATTAGAATCAGGCTCTGATAGAGACAAAGTGGGTGATCATAGATTTTTAAGCTTAAAACAGTAAACTGGAGTTTGCAGACGCTACGCCATAATGAAATCATGGGGAACGTAAGCAGCAGGGCCACTAACAACTTAGCATTTGATCAGAGTTACCAAAGAGAAGAACAAACTCGGTGTTCATTCATTCCTTTTTTTCAGTTCAACAAATATTTATGAACTTAAAACTATGTTAGTGTGCAATGGAGAATATGCTGAATACATTTCAAATGAAACACAAGCATCCAATCAGAGGTGGTGTAGCCTGCTCTCCTTCCTTATAAAGCTAAAAGAAGCATGGTTTTTTCTAAAACTACATCTTCCTTTTTTTTTGGTAAGATTAAAACAACTATCCTAGCTGACTGGTTGCCATGTTAATCTTTCAAATAAACACAAGTGTTTTCATTTTTGGTGCCAATTGCTCTTTTTACCATTGAGATGAATTACCAGGATGCTAGAGGTTCAGGAATGGTTCAGGAGGAAGGACAGGAAGGCAGAGTTGCTAGAAGAAAGGATGAGGGGATGGAAGAGGAAGGAGCCAGCGGAGTAAGAGTTGATTGAACGAGGACCAAATTAAGAGGCAGAGTGAAGACAGCTAAGGCGGTGATGCGGGAGACAGGGAGGAAGCATTGCTCTATGAAGCACACAGCCAGAATTTAGAAACCCTGAGTAGGGCCTTGGGCCGCGGGTGGAATTGCAGTTCAAGGCCCCTGCTCAAGCCAGTGGTCAGAGCCTTCTCTAGAAAGCTTGAGACTGGAGACAACTCAACCAAGATGGTGACCATTCCAGATAGGTTCACTTGAAACTGCATCTTTCACAGACCCCTTGGGATATCATTAAAGACAGAAATTTCAAAATAAAACCTTAGTGATGTTCAGAAAAGAGCAGTAAGTTGCAGCACCCTGTGGACCTCCTTGCCCTGAATGCAGGGCCCAGGGTGGCTGCCCAACTAAACCTCTGTGTGATCCTAGCACCGCAGGATAATGGGCTCCCCCAAAGCACTTAGTGCCTTCCAAATTCCTCCCAAAGACAGTCCTGCCTTCTGCTCTCTAAGCTCATGAGGGATGGAGCTCCCTCTGGCTATGCATCTCTGAGAAGGTGGTTCTGCTCTCCACCCAGCCTCTGAGCTTCTTACACTCAACTCATTTACCCCTCTTGCCCTCTCAGGGGTCATTCAGGAAGAAGGGCTCATTTCTCTGTCAGCCTTCTAGCCCATTCCGTGCTACAAAATCTTCTCAACACACTCATAAGACAGCCTCGCCCCCAGCTCACCCCACAGTCCTCACCCCTCCACTAACTCCCCCTGTATACACGTCCCCACGCAGGCAGACTCAAAACTCTGGTCCAAGTGTCCATGGGCGGTTGGGGAGCAAAGTCAAAGGTTCAAGAGGATGAAGAAAAGTCTGAACACTCACCAAGTGCAGGGTGTCGGCTTTCTGTGTCTGCCTCTGTCGGCTTTTCTGGGCAGCGATGCGATTTTTCTCCCTTCTCTGAACTTTTCTCACATCATCGGATGAGTCCTGGGAAGCAGAGATGATAATTAGGCGAGTCTGCTCCTCTCTTCTGACTTAAAACAGGCTCTCATGGTGTTTGGTATCCGTCTACCCTTCCTTCCATTCCTTCACCTTTTCATTTGCACATCCAGCCCCTATTTACCAAAAGGCTGAACCCAAAAGAGAACTCTTCCCCACACTCTGTTATGCTCCCTTAGGTCTATAAATTTTGGGGTCAAAAGATACAGGAAGAGAGCAAAAGACCTTGAGGCCTCAATAGGGCTGTCTTTGGAAAAAAATGGTTAAGGCGATGAAGTGTGTTTTGTCACTTCTCCTCCTCTTCAGGGCTGCTCCACCCTTAATTCTCTCACTTTTTGGCCCAGAACCTTCTTGCTATTTTTTTTAAACTTTGTTGAGCATCTACTATGTGCCAGGTTTTGTGCAAGTGCTTTTTCCGAGATGCTCTTAGTTCATCATTTTCGTGATGTTAATATTATTATTTCCATCTTACAATAAGTGAGGAAACTGAGGCTCAAAGAGCTTGCTCGAGGGCTCACAGTAATCTGCGAGTTATGTCTGCCGATGTGAAACCTGATGCCTTTCCAAGCCCCCTCCTGTCACCACCACCCGCTGGTTTGCACCCTATGCGTCTTCTGCTGCATCCCTGGGCTGAGGTCCCCATCCCAGATCTGCCTCCTCTTTCCCCTGCATTCCCTTCATTACGCTCAGTGACCTTGACATTCTCCATGACCCTGAGCACAGCGCCTGGTACAAACCAGAGGCCAAGAGTGGCCTTAATGGTGGAGATTACCTGGACATGGCAGGTAGTGATGGGTGCTTAGGAGGACAAGGGGAACTCTGGGTGTTCTCTAAGCAGCCCCCATGGATGGGCAGGTCCTCTACTTGGGCAGGGAGGTTGGCTCCAGCTTTCCCCCAGATGCTGCAGGGTAAGTGTAGGAGTCTGGGTGAAACCCTTCTGCAGCTCCTGCCCTGTTCCCTCTCACATCCCCGCAGGCTGGAGGGGCACAGTTCCTAGGGCAAGACTGTGCTCACCAAGTGTTCTGTCTCACCAAAGTGCCCAACACTTCCAGGTTGTGGCAGTAGGAAGGTGTTGGGTTAGATAGGAAGGAAGTGCTCTTCCTCTTAGGGGGATGGGGAACCAGGTTACCATGGAAGCCGTGAGTAATTTCCTTCCTAAGAAGAATACAGACTTCCAGGCAGTCTGAGCCACTCCGATACCATCTTGAGCAGAGGCCTGGATCCTGAGCCCTCTAGAGGCCTCCGCTAGGACTTCATCCCACCTGTGGCTCTGTTAGATCTTTATGACTGATGCTATTTTACGTATTTTTATGCTTTTATTTTGGCTGCAGAATGTTGAAAACACTCTTGGATATCTGAGCTAAGGAAAGAATGCAGTTTTAAAACCACAAAGTTGGAGAAGAAATTTTAATCCATTGATGTGTTGGATGAGAAAGAAGAGGCCTTCCTACAGCGAGGGATGTCAAGGAATGTGGTGAACAGAAGCCCCAGAAGCTGGAAGGCAGGTAGGATGTCCCATTTTTTGGCAATCCTCAAGTCAAAAACTTACGACTTGGAAGTCACAATCTAGACTCCAAATGTTCCCAGAATCTCTACCTCAATTTCTCTGGTTTCCCCAGAGCTGAGCTGAGCTGCTAATGAATGTCCCCAACAAATCTCCAAAGCCACCTGCTGATTTATTTTCTTCCACCGTCCAGAAGCCACAGGGGAAACAGCTATCCTTCGCGACTCCAGCATCCCTCTCCACTGGCTGTGCTAGCAACAGGGGCTGTGCCCTCGTAGATAGAGAGAGCTCCTTCCGTGCTGGCCCAGGTTCCTCCTCCTTCTAACCTGCTTGTTTTCTTCTTTAGTTTTCCCTGATCCCTTTTCTCTTGCCCTGATGGCTGTCTCCTGGGAAACCGCATCTCTAGCATGTGGGTTGTACATGCCAGCAGCCCACTCTAATCCTCCTCCGCGCACTGTCCTACTGTCTTGGAGAGAGGTAGACCCTTTGCTCTGAGAGATCAGAGTTCTTTGATGCTCACTCTCCTCTTGGCTTCCTAGAAAGCTTCATGGGGTGGGACCCCAGGTGAGGCGGAGGCAATGGGCACCGTCGGGGAACGGAGAGGAAAAGGAGCTTTGGCAGAAAGGGTGGGAGGATGAGGGTCTCCTCCAGTATGCACAGCCTGATTGCAAAGACTGTGTCTTGAGTCTAAGAGTGCTCCTGCCACCAGCCACTTCCTCGCTCCTCAGCTCCCTGGGCAAGACAAGGAAACCTGCCCTCTTCCTGCCCCCCCAGGAGAATCAGAAGGTAGGAGGGAGGGAAAGGAAGACTCTACCTGTTTGCCAGGGGGAGGAGAGCGGCTGAAGCTGGAGTCGCTGCTGTCGGAGCTGTGAGGCATGGCTGCAATCTTCCGGGCTCTCCACACAGCCCCAGGTGCCTCTGGGTTCTCTTGTCACCAGCTGGCCTCCCTGCTTGACTGCTCCCAGGCCACCAGCCCACCCCACTCCACAGGTCCCTCCTCTGCCCGCCCTGCAGCCACCTCTGACCCCTGCGTCCTCCTCACTCTGGGGTGCAGAAACACTGCTCCCCGCAGGGACATGTCGCTCGCTTTGGGGCTCGCGCGCGCTCTCTCTTGTGGTTTCTGGTAACTCACGCTGGAAGTCACATGGGCGGAAACTTAAAGTTAGAAGTTAATTTGAGAGAAAATACATATCTGGGAAAAGACCTACAGAATTATGTGAAAGAAAGAAAAAAAAATACACAAAACCCCAGATACCTTCCGACAGTTTGAAACACAGAACAGCTCTCTTCAATTGATGAAGATAAAAGAGAAAAACAGCCCAGGGAGGGAAAAACCCCAGCCAGAATTAGCAAGTTTGTCTTCTGTCAACATGGGCAGAAAGGACGGGACAGCAGGGAAACAGTTTCCATTGTCACCCGACTTGATTTTTAAACCAAAATAAAGCAATGGGACTGAGATTTCTTTCTGGTTTTCAACTGAAGGCAGCTGTCCATCCTGTCTTAAGGTAGGCCTTCCTCATAGCCCTTGCCATCAGCCTGCCTTGCGGTGGGCTAGGGATGAAGGGGCCCAAGGGCATGGTCCTTTCCTGTCTATCAAACACAAGAGGCTGTGGAAGATCCAAAAGCCACCTAGGAGGCTCTGGAACTGATGTTCTAAAAGTTTATGCATCACTATGCCTCTTGGCAGGGTGCTGTCTTTAGAGAAAAGATGCCTCCCATGTTGAAGCATCCGGCTGTCGGACTGGCCTGGAATCTTGCGAAGGTCGCGAAGTCGGAGCCCAGAATGGAGAAACAGTAAAAAATAGTTGTGTGAGCACTGTATTCAGAGCCAAACCAACCAGGATTTGAATTCTGACTACCACTTATTGTATTGTCGCCTGGGGTAGCTCACTTGAGCTCTATGCCTCTCACTGTCTCCATCTGTGCATGGAGGATGATAAAACCTGCCTTGCCTGCCTCTCAGGGCTGTTTCGAGAAGCAAATAACAGCATGCATTAGCATGCCCCTAGCAGAGTGTGAAATGTGCCATGAGGATGGCAGTTCCCTGCCCCCCGACTAGCCCTGCCAGGAGCACATTTATGGCATTCTCAGTAAGCCACCCGACCCTCACCTGGCCTTCTGGCCTTTTAAAAAGAACTTGCCTTCCCCGCATGGCTCAAAGGCAAACTCTCGCCTTCTTAGCCTTAGGATTGACAGGAAGTATGGCCCCCAAAAGGGTTTGTATCCACTGGCTGAATTTCTGCCCTAAGACAATATTGTCCTAAGGGTAAACTGAGCAAAACGAAATTCCTTCTCTCATGGAAGTGACGTCTGAGTGGGAGAGGCAGACAGTAAGCAAAAAAGTTAACATGGAAGACGTAAGACAGCAGATGGTGCAAGTGCCATGGAGGAAACGAAAGCAGCTGGGGGGTCGGGAATTCCAGGGTCAGCGGGTGCTGTTTCTACGGGGTGGTCAGGAGGGCCTTACTGAAGGGGGACATCTGAGCAGAGACACAGAAGAAGGGAAGGAGTGCGCAGTGTGGGTGTCTAGTGGGAGAGCATTCCAGGCACTGGAGTCAGCAAGGAGCTGAGGTGGGAGTGTGTTCAGTTTATTAAAGGAGCTGCAGGGAGGCCAGTGTGGCTGGAGCAGACAGGTGGTGAGTGGCAAAAGATGAAGTCAGCGAGGTGTCAGGGGGCGAGGTCATGTAGGGTCTTGGGGCCACTATGAGGATCTTGGCTTTTATTCTAGAAGAAATGGGGAGCTCTTGAAGGACCCACCCTCCCACTTCCCCTCTGTGATGCTTTCCCTCAGCCACTATTTCTTCCCTTCATAGCACTTAGCACATTTTGTAACTATTTTACTAGTTTATTTACTTAGTTTCTCCTGTTTCCCTCATTAGAACGTTAATTCCATTTATAAATTTCATTCAACACATGTTTATTGAGCACCTACCATATACCAGACAATGTTCTTAAGTACTGGAGACAGTTAGTCCTTTGACTTTTTCTCTGAATGAGATGGTGTATCGGTTAGTTTTGCTGCCTAACAAACCACAAAAAAGCTCAATGGCTTAAAACAACCACCATTTAGTTAAGCCTGAGTCTGCAAGTCATTTGGAAGGTTCTTTTGGTAGAAGCTGTGCTAGGCTGGTCTTAGCTGGGCTCCGTCATGTGTCGACAGATAGCTGATAGGTGGGCTGATAATTGGTTCCTGTAGGCTGGTCTTGCTCTATGTGGTCTCCCATCCTTCCACAGGCTTGCCTGGTCTTGGCTACACAGCAGTTGTAGGATTCCGAGTAAGGGCAGAAGCATTCAACACCTCTTGAGACCCAGTCTATGCACAACGTTCCTTCTGCAATATTCTGTTGGACAAAGAAAGTCACAAGGCCAGTCCAGACTCAGTGGGTTGAGAAATAGACTTCACCTCTTGATAGGAGGAATTTAAAGAATTGTGGCCATTTGTGCAATCTCCCACAGAGGAGAAGCCATCGGAGGTTTCAGAGCAGTGGAGTGTTGAGCTCTAACTTAGATTTTCACAGAATCTCTCTGGATGCAGTGGAGATTTTACTATAGAGGAGCAAAGTGAAAGTACAGAGACTAGTTAGGATTATGCCATTGGATTATTGCAATAATCCAAGTAAAAGATGTTGTTGGCGTAGACGAGCGAAGTAGTGATGACGAGGGTGATAAGTGGGCTGTGGAAAAACCAAAGACCACGTCTGTCTTGTTTATAATGATGTGCCCAGTGCCTAGTAGCTGCCTAATAAATAGTTGTCAAGTGAATAAATGTATGAATGAATTCCCATAGAACTTTGCTCATAACTTATGGCACTTATCGTAAACTGGATTGTCCTCTATCTTTCCTCACCCTTAGTATATTAGAAGCTCTGTAAGGATAAAAACTGTCATATTTATGTTTTGTTCAGCTTAAGTTAACATTTATTAATACCTACTATGTAGCAGAAATCATAAGACTGACTAAGACAGAGATCCTGCCCTCATAGAAAGAAGAGGAAGTAGTCATTTAATCAAACAGGTTATTATAAGTGTTATAACGTTCAGATGAAGTTCTTAACTCTTGGAACATTCTATCATTCAACAGGAAATACTTGTTGAATGAATGATTGCTGGATTCTGTGTTCCAAATCAATACACTGCTTTAGTATTTAACAGAGATGAAGGAAGAGAGAAATGAAAACCCAGCTCTTACACAGAAAGATGGATCTCTTTCAATAGTATTAATTATAAATTATTTTTAAATCTTTAAAGAATAATAAATACTTGAGTATCCACCAGTAAGCTTAATAAATAAATTGCGATATAATATACATCTATATATCCTGTATGTCCCTTCCTAATCCCACTTCCTCCCCACCCAGGTAAACGTTTTCCAGAATGTGGCCTTTGTCTTTCTTATGCCTTTCTCTATACTTAAACCATATTTACGTATACCTGAGCAATACATAGTATTGCCACACATGATTTTAAACTTTTTACATTGTCAATAGTTTTGCATTTAGTTTTTATTTTTTATTACACAGTATCTGAATGGTTGTAGCAAGGCTTGCGATATAAGCATCCTGCCGAGGTTATTCTGGAGAACTCCACAAAGCCACCAAGTAACTGTTATAATACAGCTAGCATCAGCTCAGTTAATATCAGCCTGCAGCCTAAGGAAAAGCTAAGGCAGCTTTTGTTAGACCCTGAAATCCTTTGTGCTGACAACTAACACATCAGGACAGTTGTTGGGTCATCAATGGCCCTGGTACAAAAAGAAAACAGCGCCACCTCTTGGTGGGCAATCCCAGGCCAGAGGCTTGGACCAGTGAGCCCCGATTTGACTTTCAAGGTGGGGGCCCTTGAATAGCGAACAATTTGTACAACTGTACCCAGCATCCTTGGTATGTATCACTTACTAGGTGCCAGGTATATGAATTGACTCATTTAATTCTCACAACAGTCATAGGAGGTAAGTACTCTTTTCTCCCCATTCTAAGGATGTGGAATGCTGAGGCACAGAGAGGTTAAGTAACCTTTTCAAGGTCACACATGGCAGCTGCCATCCCCCAGAGTGATCAGTCTGAGAGTGAGAGGGAGGAGGAGTCACAGTGCCTTTTATGACCTAGTCTCCCATCACTTCTGCTTTTATTCTCTTCGTTAGAAGCGAGGCTCTCAGTCCAGGAGAGAAAGAGAGACGTGGAAGGAGGGGGATCTCCGAGAATTTAGGGCAGCAGCTCTTTGCTAATCTGTATTTCAGTGTTTTAATAACCAGTATTTTAACACGAGTGCCTATTACATCTGCCTCCTCTACAATTAGCAGGATCCATTGTAGGTGAATGGGCTCATTAAGGTAATTGAAAATAGATGGTGTTCTGTAGCCCGCCACAAACCTGCTATATTCATGCCAGTTCAGCTCTCCTATTCCTCTGATGTTTTCAGTGCCAGGACAAATATATACCGCAGCCCATCGTCAGCTGACTCAGCTCATCTCCAAGACTTTGAGATCTAACTGACCCGTGTTTGACAAGAGCAGGGGTGCTCTGACCGTCTCGGGAAGGAAAGGGGTTGAAATGCAGGATCCAAGCGGAGCAGAAACCTCCTGAGTATCTGTGGTGTGCTCCCCACTCTTGGGGGACGGGGGGTGTGCTGACTACATAGCTAGGTACTTCTCCTTCAGGAGGGTCATTTCAGAAATGAGGCCTCCCTGCCTGCAAATAGGTGCAGAATCTCCCAAGGCCAAAAAGAAGGAAGGAAATACTCGCTTGGGACCCACCCTCAGAGATTCTGATTTAATTGGTCTGAGCAGGGGTACTTTTTACAAGCTCCCCGGGGGGGGGGGGGGGGGGCGGTTCTAAAAGGCAGCCATTCGAGGTAGGGAAACCTTGGAGCACATTTCTCCAGGAGGGGGTAGTTTTCGCCCTCAGAGTCGAGGGACGCTTCCTGGCCCAGGAGGACTAGACGCCTCCCTGCTCTTTCCTGTCCCTTCACTCTCTCTCACCTGCCTGGGACACAAAGGCCCCAGCCAGATTCCAGCGCCCTGGGATTAACTGGCTCCAGATCTATTCCCATCACCTGCTTGGAGTGGTACTTGACCTGTCTGGGTTAAGCCCAGAGTCCAGTCCACTA